GGGGTTAGGCCAGTTTTATTATAAGATTTTTATGTGAATGGAGTTTATCAATTATATTATTTGTTTTTTTTATCTTATGTTTTTTCGATATCGGTAGCATAGGTTAAATGTCTGAGATAGGTTAAATATTTCTTTTAAATAGGTTAGGTCGTGTATTATATATTTCACCTTTAATAAAGAATTCATTACAATTATGCATTTCATAGTTTTTGTTTAAATTCCACATGTTCAAGTATATTTCAAAGAATAGTTCTCATGTCTATAGTTCACAGTGAACTATAAGAAGAGTAAGACAATCTGATATATGATCAGGAGAACACTCTGCAACTCCAGTGGAAAGGGTAATAATAATTTTGAATATTTTAATACCATTTGCTATTACAACTTGATATTATATTACAACATGTTATGTTTATTAGATGTTCTTGGGAATACAAATTGCAGCAGAATATAGTGACTAAGAATAGGATTGTCTTGACACCGAAGACATGTAAAATGTATGACGTATGACGCATACATTATATGTTGAAGGAGTTAAGAAGGATAGACAAACAATGCAATAATTTAAGGTTTAAATTGCAGCAGAGTATAAAAAGCTCAGAAATATTTCTAACATTCCGCAAACAATGAATGTAGAGACAAGAAATGTTACATTGCTTCAATTAAGAGGCATACGAGCCAGCGGAAAGGACCCCTGCACTGATCTATTGACACAATCGCATCATAAGAAATTCAAGATTTTGTCGAATGCAACCTTATTAATGATTGATGGAAAGCAAAATAACTATCAAATGCAAAGTTGATGTTAAAGAAGAATGACTCATAAATGAATTTTAATTCTTGGGATTTAGTTTTCTATCAATTTTGATATCAATATGTATTTATCTTATATATAAAATTCTTCTGTAACAATGTAAGTTTCATTAATCCTCCTAAACTATAATTAGGATTTTCATGAATCTTCCTGAAGTTTGTTCGGAAAATTTTCTAGAATGTTTTGATTCATAGAAATATAGTTAGATTTTAGAAATAAATAGAAAAAATTACAAAAAACCGCTATCATTGTTTGCCCTTGAAAATATTTGAAGTTTAGTTTGACTTTAAAAACAATTGAAGACTGTCATTTGCCAAACATTTCTATTCACTTATAGGCTAAGGCAATATTAAAATATAATAAATTCATGATTATGAATAAGGAAAATGTAATGTCTACATTATTAATGCCGAAAAGCAGCTGAGATGTGCCAAAAATTAAATTAATATAAGATGCAAATAATATAACATGCATCTGACAAGTGATGCAGTCTGCGCATGCGTCTGACGCGCACGGCGAATCGTGTTCTCAACGTACTCGTGGTTTGCTTTTGCTTGCAATAATTTTGCTTGCGCACTTTGCGAACAGATTCGCCGTACGAATTCCTGCAAAGGAGACGAGCCATAAGTGATTGCGCTCAAAAATATTCAATTTGCAGTCGTTTTGCCTTACTACACTAAGTCACAATACAAAAAAAATTTAGAAGTTTTATTGTGTCAAAAATTCATATTTTGTCGTTGGGTACGGAATATTTACTCAATGGAGCGCTTTCGGTCTGAACTTTTTTTACTGTTTTCCATTTCGTTTGGAATTTTGGAACTAGATTCATCTTACTCTTCAGAAGTGAAAACAATTTAGACTCCTTTACCACTTCTCGGGTGGATGACATTTCTTATCAGTGGTGTAATTTTACTTTTTTCAAAATAACGTTGGGTATCGATAAAAGAACTAAAATTATAAAAGAAAAATGTTTAATAATGTTTTTCAAAAAAGCAAATACTTTTCAAGTTACTGGCAACTGAAAATTTGTTTCGTTTTTGCGCTTTTCATCATTTTTTGCTAATATCTTCAAAAATATACATTTTAACGAAAATCAGGTAATGAACAAAATTATATAATTAAAATCTTAATAAATCGCTTTTTTATAGTATTTTAGGAACATTATTAGGCTAGATATGAAAATGGGTTTTCATAGTGCTCAAAATAAGCTTTAAAATGAGTACTTCTGCGTGTAAAATGAGTAAACTATCATGCAAATAAAAGACGCATATAATTGTTTTTCATTTAAATCAAATAGTTTTTCAGTGCCATTTCTACCAAATTTAAAAATAATCGTATTACATCTAGAATTAACTCAGTTTAAAAGATCTTGATGGATTCTAGAAAATACCACAACTTTAGTACAAACGATTTTCAAAAAACTCATGATTTCATGAAAAAAAACATTTAAAAAACATCCAATTTCTCATTATAATATCTCTGAAAGAATACGAATAAAAGTATATATATATTAATTATTAATAATATATTATTATATATTATTATTAATTTGGTTGTCAAACGGATTCAAATTTCAATCAGATGAATTTTAATAAGGGCCGTTGCAACGCAAGGCTGGGTATGCTAGTATATATATATATATATATATATATATATATATATATATATATGAGAATTTGAGGTATTTTTCTGACTAATTATTATTGTTTATTATTTTTCCATTACAAAAATATTGATAGAGGTATTAATTAAGGAGTGCGCGGCTGTCCAACCAGAGGTCTTTCTGGTTTCATTTACTTGATTTCCAAAATATCAAGTAAATTGGAGCATAGTAAAAAAATTCACAGAGCAATATTTTTGTTGTTTTTGCAATAATGATTTATTGGAGAAAAAAATGTAATTTAGACATTAAAATTACTAAAAGCCAGTTAAAATATGGTACGAAATTATAAAAATTATAGGCAACATTATTGAAGCAATTATTTTGGGTAGACAAATAAAAGGTGATATTGAACCTTTGTCGCGAATGCTATATATTAATTCTTTCTGAATTTGTTGTACTTTTTAAAAGATTTCAATTTTCAACACGTGTGTCTTATGCTATGACCATAAATCACAAAGGCAGGCGATCATTTTTAGTGTGATAAATTCGGAAAATCAATGTTTTAGTCGTGAATAAACAAAAAATCATTCATTTATACATCTAGATCTACAGGTATGACAAAAAATACTATATAACCCTTAAATGCAATAAAATAAATTGAGCTATTGGAAATGAATTTGTTCTATAAATCGCAGGGTATAATTTTTAATATACAATTTTATTGAACATTTTTTAATATTTGTTAAATGAATAATTAAGGTGTTAACTGTGGGAATTGAGAACAATCATTTTATTTGAAACAGTTTTAAACAACATTTAACATCACTCATATGTCGGTGTAAATAGTAATTCGAAAACCAATAATGATTATTTTTAACTGAACGGTATAAATATTAGTATAGGATATTAAAAAAACGTAGATGTGGGTACAGGACAACGTCTGTGGGATTTAACTTATTAAATTTGTTCATTATTTGTCATTTTTTCTAATCATACTATTCCAATATCTATAGTATATAGTATATACTATATACTCTATTTACTACATACGTAGACTCTATACTTTTCTCTTCTAAGTTTTTATCTTTTTAATATATTATTATTAGTCATTAAGAAATTAATATTAGTCAGTTCGTGTAAATTCATTATACTTATGAAAGCTTTTAAAATTTTTCTGTGTAGTTATTATATATTGTTGATCATTAAGTAATTCATATTGATCATTCCTTTTAAGTTTATCATTTCATTGTAAATGCTCCTACACAATTTCTGCATAGTTGTTATATATTGTTGATCATTAAGTTATTTCTTTTAAGTTTATCTTTTTATTATAAATACTCCTACACAATCTCTGTGTAGTTGTTATATATTGTTGATGATTAAGTAATTCATATTGATGGTTTCTTTTAAGATTATCATTTTATTGTTAATGCTCCTACACAATCTCTGTGTGGTTATATATTGCTGATCGTTAAGTAACTCATATTGATCGTTCCTTGTAAATTTATCATTCTATTGTGAATACTTTTTATTAAGTTACTTATAATTATAAAACTATAATACTTATTATCATGTATAATAATTAAAACATTTATAAAAATTTAATTGTTATGTAAAAATGTTTGTGATATATTTGAAAATATATTTTGTACTTTGTATGATTTTTTTCTCATTTACAATATAAGAAATTATTTAGGTTTTCTTATTTTGAATTACGTATACGAACCATATCTAGGAATAATACCAGTGGTTAATTTATATACTGTACAAGTGCTGCCTCCTTCAGATCGCTGAAAAAAGTAAAATAGAGGTAATATCAAATGGCCTGATATAGCGATCTATTTATGTTTACTCATCTATTGATTTAATGAGTGTCCTTATCCAGTCACTACAATGTTCCTTTTTGGGGTGTGAAGTTTGCTGTATTATACGTCAGATGTGTTTCACATTCGCTGCAGAGTTGAATGGGATTTTAGCGTTATTATGTTTTATTTTGTGTGGTTTTCGTTCTATGTGTTTGTTTATTCGTCTATTATTTTCCGGTGTTTTTTTTGCTACCTCGTTTTTTAATTATTTTGTGCGTTATTAATACGGTTTTAGTATAATTTTCTTGTGAATCGTGTGTTGCTCGTCATTATTATATTAACATATATTTTTTTATTTACTAAGTTTATTATTTTGTTCATATTTTTATAGGTTAAGGTCTTTTTCTTTGTTTTTACGTGTTTTATAGGTTAGGGTTATTATATTACTATTTATGTTCTAGCTATTTTACAATTTTTAGATCGCTTTAGAAGTAGGTATATCTGCATTATTTTATTTTTAGACAAATATATAAGGTTTTAATCACTTAGGTTAGGTTGCATTTCAATTCATAGCTAGGTTACATTTAGGTTAGATTTCATTTCATTTAAAAATTTCATATTTATCTCGTTAGTTGATTTCTACGTTACTTTTAGCTCACATTATAGGTTTAATATTTTAGTTCATATTTCTTTTTTATACATAAGTTATCTTTTAATCATAGCTTAAGTTAGTTTAGATTTATACTATAGTTCAACCCCTTTCTTTTTTATATTCAATATGAAAAAGCAAAACCAATGTATCCATTGCTTTAAAACTTTTGCTTCCACTAGTTCTCTTTGCCGTCACAACAGGTTAGTACATTACATACAGCCTAAGGAGTACTTTCAAAATTTTGAATGTACATTTTGCCAAAAAAAATTGCATGCTTCTTCCTCATTACAAAGGCACATCAAAACTTTTCGTTCCTCCGTTCCTGATACATCTCCTACAGACTCCAAACTACAATGCACATATTTTTATGATTCCCGAATTAATCCAGAAACATCCCTTGCGCTGCCTTCTTATGCTCTACCCTCTTCATTAATTCCTCCCACTACTTCTTATTCATGTACCCTTACTGCTTCACAAACTTCTTACACAACTCTTCCTGCTTTGCCAAATCCTTCTACATCATTTGCTTCTTCACCAATACCAACGACATCCTTCCATTCATATGCTCTTCCTGCTACATCAATCCCTACGACATCCTTCCATTCATATGCTCTTCCTGCTTCACCAATTCCTACAACATCCTTCCACTCGGATGCGCTTCCTGCTTCACCAATTCATATGACAACCGCTAATTCCAATACTGTTTCCTTTATTCGACAACCATCTTCCCCACTACTTTCCCAATCATCCATATCGCTCACATTCTTTCCAGTGACCCCAACGCGACCCAGACCCCAAGATAATGCTTCGCTGTACTCAGAACATTTTACAGGTATTAAAATATAAGTATTATTTAAATATATTTAATATTAAATCCACAAAGTTACCATAATTGTTCATTTATAGGTTCTCCAAGGGTTCTCAGAATTACTTGCCCCATTGAGGATTGCGGGAATGCTTACACACGGTACAGCGCACTACAAAAACATATTGAATGTCATCATCACATCAATATTGAACACAAAGACAAACTGTTTTCTTCTATTAATGGTTTGTCAACTTTTAATTATGAAGATTTTCAACAAACATTTAATTTAGATTTAACATAGATTTTTACAGCTGGAAAACTGAGATGGAACAGAACAGTATTACGTCATATGTGAAGGACACTGCAGCATACATAACAAAAGACAATTGCTGCACCATTCAATATTATAATTGCCATCGATCACACAGTCACCAAACAAAGGAAACATGTTTAAGGGGTAGCAAAAAAATTGGGCATGCTTGTCCCTCGCGAATTATGTGCATGGTGTATAATGACGGACATGTTGAAGTTGATTACTGGAACACATGTGGGACATGGAAATTAGATAAAATATGTGCGGCTGGATCAAAATTTGATCAGAAACATCAAGGGTATAATTAATTTATTTTCATAAATGCAATTATCACATTGTTGTTAGTTCTTTGTCATTTGTAATATATTTTTTCCAGATCAAATTAAAGCAGGCGTATATCATGACTTTATTATAAAAAACATACGTGAAGATTGTTATAACAAAAAATTACTGAGACCATTAAGAGCTTCCATGATAACGAAGAAAGATTTATAAAATATAAAAAGGCGGGTGTTACCACCAAATGATACCTTTATAAATAAAAATGATTCAAGAAGTGTAGCCGATTCTTTGCATTCTTTGCATTTAATGCTGGATATAATTTAATTATCTTCATAATTAACTATTATTGATGTTTGCTTTATTTGCATAATTCATTTAAAGTTATGCCATTCATTCAAGTTATGGAAATGTGTTTCAAATTGTAAATATCTATACATTATATAGCCTTGCCAGTATCATAACACACTGCTTATGTGTGCATTTTTGTATCTAACGACAAATAATTTAATTATTTTAATTAAATGTGATTGGTATTTGCTTTATTTGCATAAATATATTTATTATACCATGCTTTAACAATATTATGGAAATAGGTTTTAAATTGTAAATATATGTATATTAATATGTTCTATAATATCAATAAATTTTTATTATTATAAATGAATAGTTTTTCTTTTATAAAAAAACAGTATATTTTTGATTAAAAAAAAACCATGCTAAAGCTTATGTTAAAGCATTAATCTTTTATTTGTTGACCAAAATTAGGTTCAATTTTTCAATACGATACGTACTGTTAATTTTATAACAAGGTTAGAAATAATTTCAAATGCCTGAACAAAATTTGTGGTACCTTACAGAACTCCACCTAATTGATTGAGAATTTAACAAATTTCAGCTATATAATAGCACGTCACAACTATTTCGACAGATTATTATTCACATTTTTATACGACAATAACTTTTTCGGAGAAAACAGTTGTACGTTTATTTAACTTACTGAATAAAACTTCTTATATAAGTACTACATTTTACCACTTTCAGGCTTAATATGATTATTACTATATACTATGACAGTACTAAATCCTCTACGTAATATTATGATCGTAGAGTAATTAAATATATATAATATATTGATATACATTAATATATGAGAGCTGAAATTAAATTGTAACTGTCACATTGACGTCTATGAACTGTCATTATGTACTAGGGTTATTTACACTTTTATATTGGTACGCCTGCTTTGTTTGTCACCTCTTCATGAAGTATATTGTCGTGTCAAAAAATGGCCGCCAGTGACTGGATGAGGAACCGTGTATTGATTTAAACATGGCCGGTAATCTCCGAACAAAACTCTGTAGCTCGATTTTAGTTAGAGCTGCTCTCCCTTGGAGCGCTCTTGCAGCGATTTGGCACTCATCTGGTAAGAATTTCAACGCGGGCAATCAAACGATTTCGAGAACGTTCAGTTGCGTTTATAAGTGATTAGGATTAGTTGCAAGCAAATAGTCGAAGTGCTACGTTCCAGGGTGCACTAATACCAAAAAAAAATGCAAAATTGCATATATTTCCAGCGAGAAATGACAAAGTACGTAATAAGAATAAAATAACCAAACATGATGTTGTAGATGTTTGCTATTTGGCTTGTCAAAACTAGTGTTTTCTACTAGAACCTATGTAGTATGTAAAATGATTAATATAATTTACGGGCCTTCAACAATAAGTAAGTATTTTTATCAATATGCATACTTCAAAATACTTGCATCTATTACTACTAGTCTGATATAAGTTTTTATTTTAGCATAATAACTGAGACATTTAACAATGCTAGGAATTTTAAGGTTATGGTTATTGAAAGATAAAATTGCCGTCAGACTAACCAACTCACCGGTAGGTAAGTTTTTAAGAATTATTCTTGTATTAATAATAAAGGTTTATAATAAATAATTTAACATTGATTTTTTTCAGCAGTTTTTCTCTTGGAAGTTTACTAAAGGGTTTACTAAACACAAGTATTGATATGAGACGAATAAACAGGGAAAAACATTAATAAAGAAATTACAAGCCAGTCTGAAACATGCTGAAATATTTGCTGAAAGACACTGGCATTGAATAATAGTATTCATAATGATATATTAAGTCGGCTAAGAGAAGATACTGAATTATTAAATGGAAGGAAATTCATTATTAATGATAAAATTCTAGCTAAGGGGTAATTTAGGTTTGGCTATTTTCCACGAAAAGTTTGTGAGTAGTGATAGTTGCATTTTGATATTACACAGAAATATTATTATCTGCGTTGTTTAATGATCGTAAAAATAATTACATTGTACATATTGACAGGAACTGTCAAATGGAAGAAAGTATATATTTGCTTATCTCTTTTTTATTTAGAGGAATAAAACACCATTAACGTGCACCCCTTATTTCTGATAGAGATGTTATTCTTAAATGTGTTATTGAAGATGCCATATGAAAACTATTAAGTACTTGTACATTACTATTAATAATTTCCTTTTTTTATGTTAATGATGATAATGACATTTTGTTCAACATTCAAATGAACATCAACACTAGTCGTAGAAAATATTAACAGAGACAAAACAGTAACTTAATTGTTAATTAGCATTATTCGAAAAAAATATAAACTGAGTTACTTGAGAAATTATCGTATGCATTAATTTTGCAAATGATTTTTAAATATATATATATATATATATATATATATAAATATATATTTATATATTATATATTACTTTTTCTATGAATATTATTTTTCTCTCTTTAGTTTCTAGAAATTTTGTTGCTTTTGCGAATAATGAAAGAGATCCGATAGCTTCTCAAATTTTTGCGAATAATGAAAGAGATCCGATAGTTTCTCAAATTTTTTGATTTATTTATTATTGAGATCGAATTATGAGATGTGCTTAAATTATTTATCTTAATCTAATTGTAATTATAACTAATCTTTGCTCTAGAAATATAAATAAATATACCTATATATATATATATATATATATATATATATATATATATATATATCTTTTGTGTTTAGCTTATAAGGATAAATCTTTTGTAACCATGTGTGTAAAATACTATTGTTAAAAATAAATGCTTTTTAAAATTCAATTTTTTTTTTAATTTTGAATTCAAACGGTCTATAATATTGGTGCATTTCTATAGTATTTTTCGTTCGCACCCGTTCTACGAGCGACGCGGGCGCACCAAGGGAGAGCAGCTCGAACTAACCCCGGCAAGTTGACAGTTAAAACGTGGCAACGAAATATGCCCCGAGAGAGCGATCTATATACTCTTCTTTTATCTATGGATTTAAAGTTCCAGTGAAACTGCAGACTTGCAATCATAGATAAACAAGTATAAATAGATTGCTATGTCTGGCGATTTGACGTTACATCGGTTAAAATACGCAACTTTGATTATAGATGGCAGCACAGGTACATTTTGTAAACTATTATTTGGACATATAATCAATACAGCCAAAAAAATCTGAAAAAAAAATGAATATTGGAAACAAGAACAAAACATACGAAGTACAAAATATATTTTCAAATATATCACAGACATATTTTTGAAGAATTATAAACTAAACAGAAATAACTGACAAATATTTAAGGAAAATAACTTATTAATATTAATTACTTAATGACTAATAATATTATAATAAAATCTTAAAAACTAAGTAAAGAAAAGCGCAGGAGTATTGACGATAGAATGACAAATTTAGAAAGAATGACAAGTAATGCAAAAATTTAAAAGAATAAAAAGAACAGATATTTTTTAAAAAAGAACAAATACTTCCCAAACAAAATAATCCTAAAGATGGTATATATATATATATCCATATAGTGCCAAAATGCATGTATTATCTGCGAGAAATGACAAAGTACGTAAAAAATAATAAAATAACCCAACATGAGTCACAATTAAATATCATTACTAATGTTATAGTTGTTTGCTGTTTAGTTGCACAGAACCAAAAATTCTGCTTTAGGAAATATAACTCCTTTGCATTGCAATAAGTCCCGTTACGTGTGCGACGCACACTTTGCTGGTATATGCAAAAGGGACACAACGGCATGGGGAGTTATCTCCGAACAAATATATATTACCCTGTTTTGGAAAGGACTACTATTTTTAGCTACTAGTTTCAAAATATCAAAAATGTCAAAATTACTCGCTTAGTTTTGCCATTCGCCATTTTGTATCAAAGTTTGTGGTTCGATGTTGTTGTTTCTGTAATTGTATTAAAGTAAGCATTTATGTGAAATTTAATATGGAAAAACGTAGCGCACCAACTTGTGGTAACTTCAGAAATAATATAAAAATGCACTTCTTTCCGGCTTTGTGAAGTGAACAAATTAAAAATGTCCAATTATATTTCACAGAATAGTTCTCATGTCTATAGTTCACAGTGATATAAGAAGAGAAAGACAATGTGATATATGACCAGGAGAACACTCTGCAACTCCAGTGGAAAAGGTAATAATAATTCTGAATATTTTAATACCATTTTTTATTACGACTTGATATTATATTACATGTTATGTTTATTAGATATTCTTGGGAATACAAATTGCAGCAGAATCTAGTGACTGAGGATAGGAGTGTCTTGATGCCGAGGGCATGTAAAATGTATGACACATCCATTATATGTTGAGGGAGTTAAGAAGGATAAACAAACAATGCAATAATTTAAGGTATAAATTGCAACAGAGTATAAAATGCTCAGAAATTTTCTTAACATTCCATCAGAAAGGACTGCTGCACTGTTCTATTGACACAATTGAATCATAAGAAATTCAAGATTTTGTAGAATGCAACTTTATTTATGATTGATTGGAAAGCAAAATAACTATCAAATGCAAAGTTAATGTTAAAGAAGAATGACTCATAAATGAATTTTAATTCTTGGAATTTAGTTTTCTATCAATTTTGATATCAATATATATATTTTATGTCTGTAGGATTTAACTTTTTAAATTTGTTCATTATTTGTCATTTCTTCTAATTATACTATTCCATTATCTATAGTATATACTCTATATACTACATACTAAGACTCTATACTTTTCTCTTTTTGATATATTGTTATTAGTCATTAAGAAATTTATATTAGACAGTTCGTGTAAATTAATTATACTTATGAAAATTTTTACAATATTTCTGTGTAGTTGTTATATATTCTGATCATTCAGTAATTTATATTGATCGTTCCTTTTAAGATTAACATTTTATTGTAAATGCTTCTACACAATCTCTGTGTAGTTGCTATATATTATTGATCATTAAGTAATTCATATTGATCGTTCCTTTTAAGTTTAACATTTTATTGTAAATGCTTCTACATAATCTCTGTGTAGTTGCTATATATAATTGATCATTAAGTAATTCATATTGATTGTTCCTTTTAAGTTTAACATTTTATTGTAAATGCTTCTACACAATCTCTGTCTAGTTGTTATATATTATTGATCATTAAGTAATTCATGTTGATCGTTTCTTGTAAATTTATCATACCATTGTGAATACTTTTTCTAGTTACTTATAATTGTAAAATTATAATACTTATCATTGTGTATATATTGATTATTACATTCATAAAAATTTTAATTGTTATGTAAAAATGTTTGTGATATATTTGAAAATATATTTTGTACTTCGTATATTTTTTTCTCATTTCCAATATAAGAAATTATTTAGGTTTTCTTATTTTGGATTACGTATGCGAACCATATCTAGGAATAATACCAGCGGTTGATTTATATACTGAACAAGTGCTGCCTCCTTTAGATCGCTAAAAATATTAAAATGGAGGTAATGTCAAATGGCCTCAGATAGCGATCTATTTATGTTTACTTATCTATGCACAATGGGCGCTTCACTGAGAATTAATGCTTTACCTACATTATATATACCAGGTTTATGCTTCAATATGATATAACAACAACTGTGTAACAATTTTTTTACTCTCTAATAATTTAGGTTTCAGTGATGATCCATATTCAGAGTCCATATACCGTAATATATTTTACATATAACCTTAAATTGAATTATAATGAGTTTATTATAATGAGCATTTTTTTTAAAAAGAACTGCTATGTAGGTGCGGTACATATAATTTTGGTTCATTTTTATAGTATTTTTTATACGCACCCGTTCAGGCGACTAATGCCCTCTGTAGAGAGTGGCTTCAACTAACACAGCAAATTGCCAGATTGGTCTGAAAAAAGTCGCAACAAAATATAGACCGAGAGAGCGATCTATATACTCTTCTTTTATCTATGGAACTAAGCGTCCGATTTGAATGATTCAAAAATTCAAAGAACTTTCTTCGTTTCACGTTTTCACAAAATAACTGCTTTTGGAAAAAAAATGTTTCAATTTTTTTTTGTATATCGAAAATAATTTAGATTGTTATTGTAATTCTAATTCTGAGTTCTAATATATTTTAAACAAATATTTTCAACTTTGCAAATCAGTTTATATAATTCAGTCATAGATAAAAGAAGAGTATATCGATCGTAGAGATATATACATAGATAAAAGAAGAGTATATGTATCTATGGTTACGTTACAGTCATCGATAAACAAGTGTAATATAATATGGTTACAGTATTTATTTAGAATCATCTATTTGAAAACATTTAATATTCTTCGAACGTTTTGTTACGGTACGGGAAGTTCCAGCAATTTGCCTTAAGGCACGATGCCATGCACCCCATTAGTATCATACTCTTCTTTTATCTATGTGTCATACTCTTCTTTTATCTATGATTATTTATTTATGTACTAATCTGTCACTTGATATCGGCTCACTAGCGCCAAACTGGCCACTGGATCTCGATACACGAAGCTCGTTTCGTGAACCCGGATTTTGCACTGAGATAGTAGGCCTTGATATAGTTTTTCTACCTTGTCGGATGTCCCTTCGGATGTCGTACATGTTTGACTTTAGATCGAATATTTTTGGTTATGCGGCTTGTAATCGATGGTCTATCTTCCAGTTCTATAATTTTGATCGTAATAGGGTTTTTTAATTATTATTTTAAATGATTTATTTTAAAGATTTATAATGCGTCTAAGTGTTTTATTGCTGCTTGTTGGAAGTACACATCTGTGGACAACAGGAATTTTAGCAAAAGATATAAAATCCAAGACAGTTACTTCATTAATTCATGCAAAATGGAAATCAACGCCAATTGTGTTAGAAGCTTCTGAATATTTAGCTGATGAAAATCCAGATTATTTCTGGAAGTTTATAAATGTAATATGTAATCTAACTACACCTTTGTCTAAATTGCGTAAGTAAAAATAGTAAAAATCATGTATGTGCTCACTAATTACAATTAACATTATTTATGTTGAAAACAGCCAACGATGAAGCTCGCTACAATGCAATTTTGGAAACTGCAAAAACTATGCTGACCCAGAGTGAGTTAGGATTAATGAAGCTAGCTCTTTCTTTACACATTTATTCACCAAAAATTGAAATGTATGCGCAAATTGCTATTGATAGAAATATACCAACAGATTGTGCTATAGTTCTTGATATAAACAATAACTTATTCTGTAATTTGGAGGATGTAGATAAGTATTTAAAAAATGTCAGTTTTAACAATTTATGGTATAATATAAACTAATATGCCAGTAAAATTTTAAAACAAATTATTGTTAAAGGAGGTAGAAAATGTGGTGGAACTATTCAAAATTGACCATTATTATCCGAATTCTTGTAATTGCTCCAATATGGTGATATTATATGGTGAACTTGGAACCCCTGAATTTTCAAAATATCATAAGATTTTTTCCAAGAAAGCTTCAGATGGACAAATAAATTACATTGTCAGACACTACATAAAGGTAAGATCTACATATACAGTAATGGGTATTTATTTATAATAAATTTGGAATGTAATTTTGTTCATCTATTTAGAATGTTTTAGAAATCTGGATTACTTCAAACATAATTTTGATTCTATGAATAATAATAATTTTAAGAATGAGACAAATTAATTTTTGTCAAAGTTTTCTCAAGTATGAGTGCATCGATTATATGAAATATGGTCAAGCATATTCCCTATAATTAAAAGATAAGTTAATTAAAACTTTGCTAAAAAGCGTGTTTTAAAAAGGAGCTACTTTCACATATTTTCAATAATATTTAGACCAAATGGAGAGCTAGAGAGCTGAAATTGGTATATAAAATTTTTGTTAGAAAAAAACCTATAAAATGACATAGAACTTTTTTAAATACCAAAGTGAAAATTGGTACGGAAATATTCCAATTATACTCTTTGTACAAAAGTCAACAATATGCAATAGTTTCTAACATTATACTGCCATACAGCAACTCAGCATACAGGGAAATCACTTAAATTGTACTAATTTTTTATAATTCCACATTATTGAGGAAAAATGAGAAAATTCCTAATACATACCTGTAGAATTCTATAAAAGCTCAGCGGATTAATCCAAATTTTAATAAATTTATATAACTAAATCGTTTTTCATAGAATTTTAGTGTTCAGTATTACTATTGTCACATTCATAAAAATTCTGGAAAAAAAATTTTTTAATAGCTCTGGAAATGTATTAATTTAGGTTAAATTCTTTTGAACTGAATAAAAGTGTATTCAAATTTATTTTTAACAAAAATAAAAAACATTCTAAGGTTATCAACTCATAGCTAATTACTAAGGAACGGCTCGGTCGATCTTTACCAAATGCAATGATAAAAATTTGAATAAAAATAATAATTTACCTTTCATTAGCTTTTGAACATCCTTATATGTACCAGTTTATTTTGAAGTTGGTATAAGACCCCTCTTTTTTTTTTCAAAGAATAAAAGTGATGTCTTTCTTGCTTTGTTTATGTATATAATTAGTCCATGTAGATTTTCTTAAAAAAGAAATCCCATGTTTTGTACAACATAAAATTGGCCCTTGAATGAAATTACTTTGACAATTATGTAAGTTTATGTCTATGCAGATGCAAATTTTGTTATCATAGAAATTATTTGGCGAAAATAGAATTTTTTGCACACACCACACAATTTTTTTGATGTAGTAGCACAATGTGGAAACGTGACAAATTCAATTTACATGAGTTCAAAAGCTCTTCCGATAAATATTTATTATCAATTTCACATTTATGTTTTAATACACTTTTATTAATAGACAGGTTTAATTAAAAACCAATGTTCAATAAGTCAATAATAATGTTAATAGACATCGATATTTTTGTTACTTTTTTGTTTATTACAAAAGTCATAGCACACTTAGTCTATATTGAAGTTAATTCGCTTCACGAATGAAACAAAAGAATTTAATTTTATAAGAAATCCTACATTAAGAGATGTAATGATTAGACCCTAGACAATATTAGAATACCCCGTGTTCATATAGACCAGTGGTCGGGGAACTTTTGGAACCGTTACCCCAAAATGTTTTTGTGCAACCTCTCATTACCCCACAAAAAAAAATTAACTAAAAGAGCCTATAATTGGAATCTGTTTGCAACATATTTCTGTATAACCTGCCATAACCCGCAGATTAACGGTTTGCTACATTGTTTGTTACTTCTAAACTTTGAAAAAGGCTGAAACAAATGGTTTGAAGAAAAAATAAGTAAAAACTATATTCATTATGAATAAATATATTTTTCATGAAAATCCTACTCTATACATGAATAAACTAGTGGTATATGGTATCATGCGTTAAGGCAAATTGCTGGAACTTTCCGCACCGTGACGAAATTTTCGAGGAATTTTAAATGTTTCCAATTAGATTATTATAAATACTGTAACATTGTATAATATTCATAAAATATAAATAAGCTAAATTACAAAATTTAAAAAAATTATTTATTCGTGATTCGTATTATAAGTGAGCTTTAGAACTTTAGCCAGAATTAAAATTAAAATCTGAATTATTTTCGATATACAAAGAAAAATTTTTTGAAAAAAAAAATTGAAATATTTTTCTTTCCCAAAAGTAATTGTTTTGTCAACACAAACAGCAAGTTTTTTTAATCATTCAAATCGGATGCTTAGTTCTCTCAAAAACTGCCATTTTTGTACATTTAGCTCTGTATCTTCGAAATGGCTGGATATGTCTTTGTCAAAACCTAATCACCACTTCTCCCAATCATTACAAATTGAATGTTTTTTGGATCATTCATATGGGATACTTCGTTCTCTTAAAAACTCAATTTTTATTTTCTGCACTCTTTACTCCGTATCTCTGTAACGGCTGGACTTGCCTTTGCCAAATACTAATCAGCATATCTCCTTATCAATAGGAACCGAATGTTGAATGAACCATTCAAATCGGTTCATCCGTGCGCTCGAAAACGTGAACGAAAAAATGCGGACACACAAAACACACATCCATTTTTTCTGAATATGAGGTATGGCAAAATGTTCAAAAACCTCTGAAACGTGAAGAAATACAAAAATTTTCATTTTCGATTTTCGGCCCATTTCCATAACTTACCCTGCGGGAATTTAACAATAATGCCACAAGTGACAACAAACACTCACACATGTAATGTAAGAACATTACGTTTTGGAGAAATGGTGTTGCTTCATCTTTGACGCAATTTTTTCAGAATTTTATGTCTGCTAAATATGCGAGATATGCAACCCAGGAAGAGTATTTAAAATTTTTAGCAAGAATATTTTTTTGAGAAACCATAGAGATTTCAGCTTTATTTTTAAGAGTCCATACTCAATATAAAATATTTCCGCGAGAGAGCCACCTTACTTCTGTATAATAAAGAAGGTAAGTCTCAGCTTCACCATCCTGACATAATTCACAAAATAGTCGCGTATTTAGTGCATGTCCCTTGATAAAATTTATAATCTTGATAACATCATAGCCCGAGAGCCAGTAACAGATTTATATGACCAAGTTCCTCTCAATTGATAATTGGTAAAACGCATAAGAAAATCGAACTATAGAGCCTCGTGAATGTCAGCTGAGGCTCGGCGGGGGGGATGAGCAGTTGTAACCCCCCACGCTTGAAGAAAAAAAAATAAATTCACTCATTTCTTCTCGGCTAAAAGTTTATCAAGTTATAGCTAACCCAATACCTCAACCAAAAAAAAAAAGTCAGCTGGTTATAACATAGTGCATTGTACGTCAGCTGATGGCTAGATCATGGGAAAAAAATCTTCACTTTCAGTGATATCCTCTCGGTTAAAAATTTACCAGATGAGAGCTTATATGTAACAATTGATAAATATATACGTCAGCTGGCTGTATCTCGGTGGAAAAATTGTCAGCTGATACTTTGAAGGTAGTTACGTAGAAGTTAGCCAGAAGCATTTATTGACTATTTAAAGGCATCAGCTGACCAGGTTTCCCTCGACTTATTGCTAGCTGATTTTTTTTATTCATCACAATATTATATTTAAAATCAGCTCACACATTTTCGTGTGGGAGGAAATGACGTCTCTTTGATTATTCGGCATAGCACTCCAATATGAGTGTTGAGATGAAACAAACATATCAATATTTTTTAGACTTATAAGTATATAATCATATAATTTTAGATATATTCCAATATTTCAATAATCAATTTGCTTAGTATAAATTAAGTAGTTACTTGATAAAAAAATATTTATTATAAAAAAATTATGACAAATTACAATTCGAATGACAATGTTATTTAATCATTTTCGGCTTCGCTTTGGCTTGAGTCACAACTATCTCTCTCTGATTCATTGTCCGAGTCACTGTCAGAGCTGTCTGCTGTTATATTTTCATTGTCATAATCTGTAAAAAAAAATTAGAATGCGTATTTTAGCATAATATCATTAATATGATAATAAAATGTTACCTTTTTCGGGCTGGATAGTTATTTCATCAATCGATGTTGGTAACTGACTTCCAAAGAACCAGGTAAAATCATATTTATTGTCAATTTCTTCCCAACCATAGTCTTCCGGATCATCAGAAGTTGGAACCTTCAAATGTGCATTTGACCAAATTTGAGCAATATAGCATGCTCTTAAAAATTGCTGATATAGCTCTGACTCGCAAGGTGGTAGAGAAGAGCCATCAATACCTTTCTTTGGTAACTTGAATGTCTCCGTATCCAAGAATTTATATGTTTTTTCAAACAACACTACTCTTGCCTCATTGACCTTTTTCAGACGATTTAATCCATACATATGGCAAACAAACTCTTGAATTTTCTCAAAAATATTGTCTCTATTCTCTAATGATTTTGACATTTGGATGAGACACTCGATGAAAACATTCGATTTAGCCATTATTGAAAATTGTCGTTTTTTTCCTTTTCGAAAAACGGCCGGGTTAAAATCACACCCTGTGAATGCGTGAAATGCCGGAAGTGCTGGGCTCAAATCAGATCCCAAAGATTCGTATAATTGAGTAACATTTATAAATCTTTGGGCTTTTCCAACTCCAACTTCCATGCGAATGTTGATATTTTCTGATATATTAGCCATGTTAGCTAACATAATTATTAACACGTCAGTGTCGGAACAACGAATACATTTCGGCCTCGTAATGCCATACGCACTAGTAGTGAAAAAATTCTTACGCAGTGAACGTGTTAAAGAGGCGTCATTTCCTCCCACACGAAAATTTGTGAGTTGATTTCAAATATAATACTGTGATGAATAAAAAAAATCAGCAAGCAATAAGTCGAGGGAAACCTGGTCAGCTGATGCCTTTAAATAGTCAATAAATGCTTCTGGCTAACTTCTACGTAACGACCTTCAAAGTATCAGCTGACGATTTTTCCACCGAGATACAGCCAGCTGACGTATATATTTATCAATTGTTACATATAAGCTATCATCTGGTAAATTTTTAACCGAGAGGATATCACTGAAAGTGAAGATTTTTTTCCCATGATCTAGCCATCAGCTGACGTACAATGCACTATGTTATAACCAGCTGACTTTTTTTTTGGTTGAGGTATTGGGTTAGCTATAACTTGATAAACTTTTAGCCGAGAGGAAATGAGTGAATTTTTTTTTTTTTCTTCAAGCGTGGGGGGTTCCAATTACTCATCCCCCCCACTGTGCCGCAGCTGACGGTCATAGGGCTTTATGATACTGTTGTCTGATGCGTATCGCCAATTATCTATCGAGAAGAAATAATTAACCAAATTTGCACCTGGCTCTTGGACTATCATGAGTGTGGGTTATTTTCCCTTACAAAAGCTGAAAAACTATAAATATGACCCATCATAGATGGAGCTTAATCCAAAGACACCAAATTGCAATTTTCCCATTTTAATCTTTGCGCTTTGAAGTATTCGTTTACTTTATTATAAATATCTATTCCACGATATCTGAACTTGAGAAGAAAACAAAACAGCAATTTCTTTTCAAAATTATCTGCACCTTTATAGCAAACATATACCAGTTGTGAATTACTACTGAAATCCGTTGTCTCAAGCTGAATGGCAAAATATTTAGTTTGTTTTAATGCAAAAACTTCACATTTTTTGCTAATGCAGAGATTCTTTTCGATAGTGAAGCTGATTTAGTGCTTTGCAAATATATACTTTTTACCCCCAAAAATTCCACTTTTACCCCATTTGGGGTAATTTACCCCGGTTCCCCGACCACTGATATAGACGTTGCCCTCGCCCGCTTTTTACGTTCAGAAGGAATATTTAAAGGGTCCTACGCTCGACGTGATGGCGCTGCTTTTGGCATTCTTAACTCTCATTAACTAATAATCATCCCGTGCAAAATTTGACATTCTTAAGACATTCATTTTCTCCCAAGTATATTTAGATCCGTGTGAAGTGGTAATCCAATTTCAAACAGCTGGAACAGCTTTTTATTTGTGTATTATGTCTTTCTTGTAGAAGCGTATACTTGATTTCTTACACAATTTCCTAGAACTGACCTCTTTTTTTTAAAGTGTATTATGATTAGACTAATATGCCAATGCACTACGTAGAAATGTATTAATTATGTCCTCCATATGAGTTTGAAGCTATGAGTTGAAAATACTTTTTCATCGGCTCACTAGCGCCAAATCTGCGACTAAAATGGACCCCTAAGTATTCCTTCTGAACGAGGATTTTGTTCTAAGTGAAAAGGCCAGATTAGACTATGTAGTTCTAGTGTATTATGCTACAAATATCACTGAGTTAAACTATTCAGAACTCTGGACTTTTATTGTAACTTTCAGATCATTAAATAATTTTTAATGGTTTTAACACATTTTTATTGAATTATCGTCATCGTGATATCTCAAAATATATCGTTGTGTCTATCCGTTCAGTAGTGCGGCTGAGCGGCACGTTGTTTCTGGATAGCGGCGAAAACCTAACTAAAGGGTTAATTTATGTGGTGAAATTTCATTTAGCTTTAGAAAAATATCAAAATCAATTAACATTTCAAATATTACAAACATGAGCATCAATGTAAAGATTATCAAAAAAAACTATGTATACAAAAACATATTTTTAAAGAAATTAAAAGTAGTAGAACATCAATTTTTAATATTTTTTTTTATGCTTTTTATTGCTCGATTCTTTTTTTGAATGTGTGTGTTTATTGTTATCTTCGTTTTTATAATTGAAACATGAAATTACAAATATACACTGATTTCTTTACAATTATTTTTTAGGACAGAGGTAACAGAAAATTGAGATTGTCGGGGTATGGAGTTGAACTTCAAATGAAATCTACAGAGTACACAAGTCAAGATGACTCACTTCAACTAGTTAATGATACTCATTCTGAAATGAACCCTGAAGAAGATGATGAAATTGATGGGTTTAATTTCAAGCAGCTAAGGTTTGGTTAATGTTGAAATAAAAATAATTTCAAATAGTTTTCAATATATGCAGTGGTAACAGTACAAGTGGAAGCGGTCGCTTTCTTCCCTTGGCGTTTTTGCTTTGGGAAGGAAGTGGTCGCTTTCTCGTCTTCCAGAAAATACAAAAATATTATTTCAAAGACAAATATTACTTACAGAACAATGAAATTATGTTCTAGTGTGAATAGCTCAAATGTTTAATTTATTGATTAGTAAAGGGTCATATTTCTAACTACGACAATCTTTGGCCGTGAATGTCGGCAATCAGGAATATACATGACGAAAAATACACGAAACAAAATGCATTTAATCTGGTTTTCCATAGCCTGAAATAAATAACAACACTTTAGAGAGCAAAATTTATCAGTGATATCAATAGTATTTAAGCAGCAAAAAATATTTAGTATTATATTATTACTTTTACACAATTATATAATTGTTTAAAAGTAATAATATGCTAATCGAACTACCCGATATAATGTTAATTCTCGAATGGAAATAGTAGAAGAAAAATTTAGAAAACAGAAGTATTATGTTTTGCTTCTATTACAAAGTTTACTACATATTTTTTATATAAAATTAATCCAAAAAATCAATTTTCTCATCAAAAGGAAATAATTAATTTGAATTTGATTCTCAAGTTTTGCGTTTTTACTTTAGTCAACACTGTTAAAATTACGAGTCATTGAGTCGATCATCTGGTCGAGCGATAATTTTACAACACGTCATTTATTACTGAATTTTTTAGAAAAATTGTTTTATTGATATTTATTCGAAAATTTTCTTTTCGCCTGATGTCTAGTGTTAGAACGATAGAATCGATACTGAGTAAGTATCGATACTTTGACGTCGATACTGAGTACTTTTGGAATCGATACTTCGAGCCGATTCTTTTGGCGGTATCGATACTTTGCGCCGATACTATACTTTTGATTCCACCAAAAGTTCGACCGCATTTTATGAAACCCACTCATTCTCTTTTGTAGCGCCGGTACCGCTCTTCATAGATAACGAAACAAGCGATAAGCTGAGTGCGATATGGTTTTTTGTTAAAGAAAATGTTTATGAATGCCCAGTTCGAAGCCACTGGTTAACAATAAATAAAATAATTAGAGTTAAAGATTACGTATGTCGATAATATAATTTCTGTTACCGCCGAGAATATATGTTTATCAACGATAATAAGTAATAATATTCTAATTGTTTTTCTAAAATAAATACTACTTTATATTCGTTAAGTATTTCTATTAAGATTATTTTATTTCCGATTCTTATTTCTGAAGCCGATACTTTTTTTCTAAAATAAATACTACTTTATAAACGTTGAGTATTTCTTCGTTTACTTTATTAAGGATTTTCCATGTCAGGCGGTGCAATTAACAATTGATCATATCTCCACTTTTTACAATGCGGGTTGAAAGGATAGTCATTGAACCTAATCTATTGTTAAAATAACATAATACGCAAATGCGTCTGTGAACATATAACTATTATATATATATATATATATATATATATATATATATATATATATATATATATATATATATATATATATATATAATATAATAATAGCAAAATAATTCTGATACTATTATTTCTCATGTGTGTTTTGAATATTATTCACAATCAGTTTTATTGCTAATGTGATTGTTGAGTATTTTCTTTTTCATAATAAGTTTCCGATACTAATAATTCGTAAGTAACTACTTTTATCACAAAACAATACTAATTTTATATTTGTTGAGTATTTTTCTTTTCATTATAATAATTAATAATTTGTAAATAAATACTTTTATCACAAAATAATACTAATTTTATAATCATTGTTTTTTTTATATAAATTAGTCGATACTATTTTCATAAATAAATACTTTCATCACAAAACGATACTATTTTATAATTATTGAGTATTTTTCTTTTTGATATTAATTAGCCGACACTAAATTCATAAATGAATACTTTCGTCACAAAACAATACTATTTTATAATTATTGAGTATTTTTCTTTTTGATATAAATTAGCCGATACTAAATTATAAATGAATACTTTTGTCACAAAACGATACTATTTTATAATTGTTGAGTATTTTTCTTTTTGATATAAATTAGCCGCTACTAAATTCATGAATGAATACTTTCGTCGCAAAACGATACTATTTTATAATTATTGAGTATTTTTCTTTTTTATATAAATTAGCCGATACTAAATTATAAATGAATACTTTCGTCACAAAACGATACTATTTTATAATTGTTGAGTATTTTTCTTTTTGATATAAATTAGCCGATAATATTGTATACAACATGAATGAATACTTTCGTCGCAAAACGATATACATTACAAAATTTATAAAGAATAACCAAGTGACTTTTATAAATTTCTTATATCCTATTTGGTATTACGTCCTATTTAACTTGTTAAAATTTTAACATGCTCTATGATGCTGTATTTTTTTTTATTTGTGATTACTTACGTAACACTTATAATATAAATTTCCGACTATAAATTCATATTCATACTATCCCTGAAACTAACATGGATAACGTTCTGAGGAATCCGAGTCTAAATCTATTAAATGTTTGATTTTTGGCACTTCGAAATTCAATATAATATGATATAATATTTAGTTTTCAATCATGATTTATAATAATTTTGTGATGTCTACCTGAATGAACAACTTAAGCAAATTAAACCTAAATCATAAATCAATTTATTCATAAATTTCCCAGAATATTAATAAACGTCATTTTCGGCATTTATTTTAAATTTGTAACCGCCCAATTTTATTTAAATTTGATAACTTCTATTATTCTGTATCTAAAATGTGATTTGTAATATTGCCTATAATATGACTTGCAATAATTAATGCATTTGTTCCCATTTGAATTCGTTAAAAATAATAATTCTTTTGACGTGTCAAACTTTGTTTATGATTAAAGTTAAATTTGATACGTCGCATTTTCATTCTGATCTATTATGTTTTGAGGACGTTTTAGTATCCGAACTAATATGGTTAATAAAACCAAATAAATATAAATTATAAATTTATTTATCTAATACTTTCCATAGATGTTGAAATATGACATTTCACTTTTTTTTTAGTTTACAACTATCAAAATTTATTTTAATCTACAAACATATATATTTCTGTTATTTTGAATATAGCATTTTGCCTAATTTGGATATAACTGTTGGCGAAATTATAATAAATCTGTTCCTTTTTTAATTAGTAAAAATAATATATTTTTTGAACTGTCAATTTATTTTTTCAAAAATCATTAATCGTTTTTTCTCGAAGTTTCCATAAATATTGACATTTGCCATTCTCTTGTTTTGTTTTTTATTAGTAAATTTCTGTCTAAATTTATGGAAATTTTTAATAAATATATATTTTTATATTAAATGTATTTTTCAAAATTTCCTATAATCTAAATTTTTTTTTAATTTAATATATTTTTAAAAATATTATTAATTTATTATTTAAGTTTTAAAAAAGCACTTTAATCAATAGTATTGATCCATCATATTCAAATTTCAATTAGGATTTTATTTATTTTTGGATTGATATGAATTTTTAATAACAAAAGGTTTGAAATTTGGTTTTCAAACGGATTCAAATTTCAATCAGGTGGATTTTAATAAGGGTCGTCGCAACGTGAGACCTGTCCCTGAATTTTGAATGTACTTTCAAAATGTCTTCCATGGTACGACCGGTCGCAAATTCTACTTGCCCCAAATGATGTCATCTGGAAGCAATTATTAAATTTTTTTTTTGTTGAAGTGTCAAAATTTTGTTTATGATTAATTTTAAATTCAATATGCCGCTTTTTTATTGTGATCTATAATTTTTTGATGAAGTTTTGGTATCCGAAATAATTTGGTAAGCTAATCAAATAAATATAAATTATAAATCTATTTATCTAATTATTTTCATAAATATTGACAAATGACATTTCATTTTTTTTTTCATGTCAACATTTATTTAAATTTATAAACATTGATTTTTAATTAGATTTAAAACTATAAACAGTGATTTTTAATATTAGTCCAGTCATTTGGTGCTGTTGCCGGTACAGTACTCCGGGAATTCTGAAAATTGGTAATCTTATAGATTTCGAGGTGCTCTTTACGAAAATCAACTTTGCCACCTCACATTTGAACGGCAAGTTGCCGCCATATTGGAAAAATGGCGTCAAAAAACAGCTTTTTCAAAATATCTCCTTTCTGGCTCATTCTACGATAAAAGTATCTATTAATCTTATTCGCTTAATTTAACATTGAAAATATTTATTTATTAGAGAGAATATGGTCAAGTTCAAAGTGCTGTCATATATGGAGAGATTTGATGCTACGGCGAGAGCAGCAAAGACTTTGAGGCGGCCGTACTCTCAAACAATAAATTTTAGAAAAAAACGGTTTTCTAAAGAATTGTAGTAAATTTTATCTAGTTTAATTCGTACATAGATACTTTTATCGTAGAATGAGCCAGAAAGGAGATATTTTAAAAAAGCTGTTTTTTCACAGAAAATAAAATATATTTTTTGCAAAACTAATATCGTTTCAAAAAATAATAATTTCTATTTTACATATTCTCCATGGAAAACCACAATAATTATAATTTGTGAAATTCTATGTGTAAACAAATTGCTCACAGAGATATATTTTTCAATATACTTTTAATATATGAAAAATAATGAAACTTTTTGTGCACTATTTATAACTTGACTGAAATTGCAATAATTTTACATTTTAGTGACAATTTTATCATGATATCGAAAAATTGCAAGTATTGCAATAAATATTTACATAGAAAGGGAATTGTATAGTAGTTACATAGAAAAAATAATTATTGTTTTTACTATTCGCTGAAAAAATAATAGTTGTCATTTGGATAGCCATGGATAGCCATAATAATTATAATTTTGACAACAGAGATATATTTTTTATATATGCCACACTGGTAGAAAATGGAAAA